TGGTTCGTGTAGGATTGAAGGCTGTCAGTTGCAGAGACTAAACAAAAAATAACCTTTTCTAAGAGCAAAATCATCTTGGCAAATGTAGTTACAGCAACTGCCAGCCTGGTCTAAACTGTGGGGCTATGGGGCACTGTTTTTCGGTCAATTCAGTGATTCTCAGGAAGGGAGTAGGGCTTCCACTCGAGTTTCCAAGGAATGAAGTGTGTGTGTACTTGGAAAAAGCATGTTATTATTTTTTTTTAAATTTTTTTTCATTGGAGTGTAGTTGATTTACAGTGTTGGAAAAGCATGTTCTTAAATTAACATTGCTTAGATATGCTTTTGGTCACTTTTTTTAAAATTTCAAGTTTCAAACAGTATTAAAAGAAACCATACGGTTTTTATATTTATCCAAAAAGAAGCATGGATTTCAACACACACACAAACACACACATCCAAAAAAGGAAAAAGCCAAGAAACACTGGTGCAACTTAAAAGAACCTCAACTCATTGGAATCTGTCAGTTGTGTAAAGATCTTTTTCAAATATTTTTCTGTCTTTGTTTCCATTTAATAAGATTACATTTAAAGTTTTCTACGACTCTCAGGTTTTTTGCTGTTGTACCAGTTAAATTTCTAGGTTCTGTTAAATAAGATTATTTTAGGTGAGTCTGTTTCAGGAGTTATGATGTCCTGATATAAGAAATAGGCAGAGTTGGAGTTGGCGGGACACCATCTGTACCCAACAGAGGCCACCTGGCAAGTGGCCACAGACTGCCACAAATCCCGCGAGTGATTGGGGTTCTAGATTAATCCCAGCGGGTGCAGGTCAGGAGCAACATGCTGGCATTTATTGGCCACTTACTACATGCCAGATCCTATTTTAAGCACTTTATGTGTGCTTATTGTTTAATCTTCACAGCAACGCATTCAGTTAGTTAGTTGCTCTGTTTTACAGACAAAGGAACCAAGGCGTGAGCAGTTACATACCCCACCCACCTCCTCCCTGAAAGATTCGTGGGAGAGTTGACTTAGGCCCAAATCAAACTTGTATTCTGGTTCCTTTAAAGAAACTCCTTTGAGTGGAACAGTGTGTTCTAAGTAAGTGGTCGGTAGAACCGGCCCAAAACAATGGCGTCCACATCTGGGGCAGGCTAAAATGAGATTTAAAGTAAATATTCAGCTTCCTCTTTGGCATAAGGAGATCTGGATCCCTGTGCTCTGGCTTTTCATGAAAACTCTGTGACCTCCTCACAGAGCAGTGGGAGCCTAGAACAGGATTCATGAGTAGCTCTCTTCCCATGCAGCTGTAGTGAAGGTCGGAGGGAAGCTGTATGTCACACCGTTACCCATGGAAATGAGACTAAACATAAATATTTAAGTAGGAAGGAACTATTTCTCAGCCTAAACTTCTAAAGTTTAGAGTGATCCTGAAGGTAAAAGAGCTTCACACAGGGGAAGCCTCAGAGAAAACTTCAAATTTTATTTATTTGTACCATACTGCCGTTTCTCTGTATATTTGCTCTCTATGTGTGTGTGTGTGTGTGTGTGTGTGTGTGTGTGTGTGTGTGTATGTACATATGTATACATATATATTTCATTTTAAATACAACTCAAGTAGTGAAAGTCCCTGAAACTCACCTTTTCTCCTGCCCCAGAAAAAGGATAATCACTGTTAATTGTTTGATATATATTACATAATTTGTTCAGATATTTTTTTCCTAAAGCAACATTGAAATAGCAACAACACACGCCATCTTTAGGATGCCGTGCTGAGGAGCACATTCAATTCTAAAAGATAACTTAGCTTTTACATCTAATAACAGATCAGGGGATTTGAGGCCCTCATTAACAATACCCCCTTGTGTTAATTTCTTTCCTAGGGCCTTATTTTGACTTGGTGGGCTAGCTTTTCTTGGATCACGGGTATATTATCTAAATAGTATAACTGGCTCATCATTACCTCTTCTCTTGAAGCAAAATCATCCATAATAAAGCTCTTGAGTTTTCAGAAATGATAGTATGTTGTGAATTTACAACGTTTTAGAACTGAAGCCAGTAGTAACGGAAGTTTTGAAAATTGGAACACTTCCTCAAACCCATTTGACTTGATGGGATTTGGAGCCTAAATAAAGAGTGGGAAGTTTCTAACTTAGAAATTAAGCTACTGTTATGGTTAATTTTGCGTGTTAACTTGACTAGGCCACAGGGTACCCAGATATTTGGTTCAACATTATTCTGGTGTTTGTGAGTATGCTTCTAGATGAAATTCACCTTTGAATTGGTGGACTGACTAAGGCAGATTGCCCTCCCTGGTGTGGGAGGGCCTCCTCCAATCCTTTGAAACCTGAATAGAACAAAAAGCTGAGTAAGGGAGAATTTGCTCTATCTTGCCTGACTGTCTTTGAGCTGGGACGGTGGTTTTCTCCCACCTTTGGACTCATACTGGAATTTACATCATCGGTTCTCCTGGTTCTCAGGCCATTGGACTTGGACTGGAGCTACACTATTGGCTCTCCTGGGTCGCCAGCTTGCAGAGGGCAGATCTTGGGACTTTTCAGCCTCTGTAATTGCATGAGCCGATTCCTTACAATAAACCTCTTTTCTCATTCATTTTTGTATATGTGTGTGTGTGTGTGTGTGTATGTGTGTGTATACGTATATACACACATTCATATGTGTACTCTTGGTTCTGTTTCTCTGGCACACCCAGACTAATATAGCTACTTGTTTTTCATTTTTTGAAATTATGAAATATTTTAACAATATAAAAAGATGTCATGAACCCTGTCGTATGATACACTGAGGACACAATGTCATTTTTATGGTGGTCTTGCCCAAAATGTATAATCACAGCCTAATAATGAGACAATAACTGTCACAAACTGAAGAAGACTAAAGAGAAATAACAGCTAAATGCACTGTGGGATTCTAGATAGGATTATAAGAATAGGAAAAGGACATTAGTGGAAAACCTAGGGAGACTTCACTATGTTCTTTATTTTAGTTAATGGTATTGTACAAAGTTAATTTTCTGGTCTGATTATTGTAGTATGGTTGCATAAGATATTAACATTAGGGGGAGTGGGGTGAAAGTATATGGATAATGTGTTTGTGACTTCTCTGTAAGTCTAAAATTAGGTCAAAATAAAAAATTTATAAAGAACACATAAAAGTATAGTAAATGATGTAACACACACCTATATACTTACAACTCTGTTTGGTCAAGTCTTACATTTTGCCATATTTGATCCATTATTTTTTTGAAAAGAAATAAAACATTTTAGGTAAAACTTAAGTCCCTTTATATCCCTTCCCTGATCCCCTTTTTTCCCCGCTTCTCCCATGATTACGATCCTGAATTTGATGTTTATCTTGTGCTGCTATAATATGATTTTACATATTAATATATTGTTTTACCTTTGGAGACAAAAACCAATATAAATATAAATTTACTTAATACCACTGAACTGCACACTTAAAAATTGTTAAGATGGTAAATTTTGTGTTATGTGAATTTTGCCAAAGTGAAAGAAATTTAGGGGAAAAAAACATGGTAAATGGACTACAGGTGATGCTCTTTGGAACAGAGGAAGTCCCCAT